CCAATTCATTTCCTTCCTTGTTTTTTTGTAGCACATTATTTTCTTGAGGCTGAATTCTGTATTGGAGCTGCACAAGAGTAGATCTGATCTGATTAGGGAGGTAAAAATGTGACTATGAGAATGTTCATCTTGGCAGAAGATATGTGATTAAAGGAATGGTGAGACACAGACACAAATCCGTTTGGAGAGATGTTGCGTGAGAAAATCTCAGAAATATTCTGCCATACTTACAGGCTCCTAACTTGCTATAAAATTAAAGCTGTCCTTTTAACATGGTGGTGAAACCTCTGGAAATTATAATCTTAAGGTTTGGATCCTTATTTGAAGTTCATCCAGGCTGTTCCACGCTGAAGTTCTAAACAATCTGGCTGCATCTCACATAAGAATAGACTTTTTATTTTTGTGAGTTTTTTTGCTACTTCCTGCCTCCCCTTCATCTGGAAATGCTTTAAGAAAACCCTTTCTCATCATATGATATTTTTTGTTAATATTTTTACATTTCAACATTTTGTATTCCAGTCTGGGTGCAGGTTAAAAGAATGATAATCCAATTTAATATGTATGTACATAAAGAAAATTAATATGTATGTGTATAAAGAAAATTTTGGTTGAATAATCTGGGGGGAAGCAATTAATTTTAAAGCATCTTTATTAACATACACCACATGACTTGTAGTGTCCTGGAACAGTGCCTCTAGATTGCTGTCTGGGATTGTAGTGTCCCTGGTGTATCTATTGCCTGGTTGCATCAAAACTCAGTTATGGTAGAGAGATTTTTCACTGTATTCTGAGTATTTGGTGGATTTAAAATAACAAAAATTACTCACAGTATTGTATATATCTAGTATTATATATATATAGTACTACCCTTTTATAATTATATCAGGAATCATATTTAAAATGGGGTAGTGGAAGTGTGGTGTTTTGATTTTTAATCCCTGGCTCTCCTCATTACACAACTGCAAAATATTCCTGATTGTTTATATGCTGATTGTTTCTGTGGTGGTCTATCCATGAGTGCTGGAGAGGTGGAAAGATTCTCCTATTGGAACTGACAGTGAGTCTATCGGCTGCAGCCAGAAAATGCCCTCAAATGTTTGTCTTAAGTAATATATATATATTGTATTTGGCTTTTTGATAATTGTTTGTGATTTTTTCAAATAGCAATTTTGCTTTGGAAAATATTTATTTGTTAAAACTCTTAGTTAAACAATTTATTTGTTTTCTTAGTCTCATGAAAACATGGAGGAGGGGGTTGTGGGACTTGTGTTTTTGTCAACCAATCATCTGCAGTTTTCCTGTGCAGGGATATTGAGGAAGAAATAGCAAGAATTTACTATATTCCTCCCTGGAGATGTGAGAAACTACACATGAGATTCAAGCTCCACTTAGCCTGAGAAGTGCTCTGAGTGAGAGGCAGCTATGTATCCTGAGATAGATGAAATGTAATAAACCCAGCTGTCCATTTAAATAGTTTGAGTGGATGTCACAGGGACATATCCCTGTGACAAGTGGACACTCCATGAAGCACTGCCCCATTAAGGCAAATGTGTTCACTACCATTCCTCATAATAACTGCCTACTGTCTAGGTTCTTATTTGTAGGTAACATGTTAAAATAAATCTTCTCATGGGTAAAATACTCACAAAATAAAATGCTACACAGTTTCAACAAAAAAAAAAACAAAACAGTGATGTGGTTGTTATTGTCTGATTATGTGGAAACATAAGGTACAGGAGAAAAAGTGTATGTGCTCTAAAAATGAGGTATTGTTCTAGAATATTGAAAATTATCTTTAATGACAAATGTGTTATAGTCCAGAGGTTCCTCTGAAGGAATTATTTTTCGTGTTCTCTGAAAGTATTTTCAATTATGTGCTGTATGTCCAAGGCGCTGGTTCCTTGATAGAAACTGCAGTTGTCCTGAGTGTATCAGAACAAAGCACATCTCTATATGAATTTTGCTGCTCAGACTATGCTTAGATTTTGGTTTTTTTTTTTTTGGACTACTTAGCTGAGTCGAAACTAATTTAATTTTTTGGCCCATTTGTCACAAAGCTTTTGACCTAGATCCCTCTGAATATCCCTTTCCTTAGTACTACCTAGGTCCCTTGTAGCTAGCCTGAAAGAGAGGAAAATGTGTCTCAGCACAAAGAATAAGAATGTTCCTGCACCCTCTTATAATTCTGAAATATGAAGGAACTTGAGCTCCAATGTGCTCTCCAGTTACTTGTTCGGAGAATAAGTGGAAAGTATCATTTCTTGTTCCTTCCTTTCACAAGTTGTGGAACTTTAATGCACTTTTTCTTGAAGTATCTCCAGTCAGAGGTTGGGACATCTTTGTCACAGGCCTTTTATTATACAGAATGGAAAGGTTTCCTTTTCCAGCCTTTACCATTTGAATAAAGAGAACTACGTAAGACATGAAAGGATTAGGCATAGGAGGATTGAACTGGAATTAAATATCTGTTAGCCCCCATCTCCCTGTTAAAAAAGCCCAACTTGCAAACCAATTGATCAACTACAAGAACATCCATGCTGTAGTAATGAGGATGCAGTGCTCCCTTCTGAGGCAGCTGTTCCACAGTGCCATGCAGAGAGGATCTTTTTCTTTGTATGAACTTTCTGTCGACTCTAAATTACAAAACTACATAAATATTTAAGTGATTTCAGCTTCACTGGCAGACATGCAGTTCTCCAGCAGCTGAAATTTTCCTTGATCTAGGTTTTCACAGTTGTTTGAACTAAGAGTTATAGCACAGATAAGTTCTTTTCCCCTTTTTTTCATGAGAGAAGGTTTTAAGGAAAAATTGTAAGGAATTCCAACTATTACAATAACATTTTAATTCTACTTTGGCCCTTTAGATTCAGTATTTCAAATACAATTTATTCCCAAATTATTTTTATCTGGCCTTTTGGCAACACTTAACTTTTTCTAGCTGTGTTGTATTTACAGTCAAAAATCAGTGGAAAATATTTTTGTTTGCACCATCTAGAATTTAATAAAAATTCTACAGGATTCTTTGTAGAACACTGATTTTTTTCTATAGGATTTTAAATACAGAGGAAAAAAATTACATCAACAAATCTTTGAGCTTAGGGTACTTTTATGCTGAAGTCGCCTGGATTTATTGTTGATTTTCTTATTGGGGTGGCTGTAACAGCAGCCATTGATGGCACAGAGGTGCTCATGAGAGCATGGCCCAGAGCAGGCTGGAGCAGAGTCAAGCATTCTGCAGTCTTCTCTGGTGTCTATGCCAGGTGGAGCACTGACCTGTCTGGGCAGCTGGATGCTCCTCCATCTCTGCATGGTAGCCTGCTGAATCTTGCAGCCTTATCTTCAGACCTGTTGCTCTTCAGGTCCTCTGGGACTGTATCTCCCATATTCAACTAGACATCTCCAGCTCCTAATTTAGTCCAAGGGCATAAGGAATGGATGGCATTAGGTCACACAGAGGAATGACACTATTAAAATAGCAAACAGATGATATTTGTATTTTATTTTTAGCTTATTTCCTGTGGTTGCTGATGTTACAAAAGCTTCTTTTCTAGTCACTTTGCTTAAAATACGCATACATTGTGCACATATGCATCTTCATGCTGGAGTTTGGCATTAGATTGTGTAGTGTGTTTGCTTATGAAATGAAGCAGTATTGGCTCAAACTCCTTGAGACCGAGAACTACAAGGGATGTGCAGAAGGCCCTTTCTGTGATGCTTTTTCTTCTTCTGTGAACACAGCCCTGAGAATTTAGGTGCTCAACAGGCTGTGTTATCAACCTTTGTGGTTTTAGCATGGGTGGGCGGAGATTTCCCCTGACAGATACACAGTAGACAGTAGACTTCAGCCTTGGCCCAAACGGTGAATGTCTCTTCTCCTTTAGTTTACAGAAAAGCATTGAGTCAACATTAGTCAGCTGTAGGACTTAATGTTAGAATGAGTCAATCATCAGGAGTCCATATTTATATGGACTGTAAGGGAGAGTAGGGTCTTCAGATGCTGTAAAAGGATGCTGTCCCTGGAGATGTCATGTGGATTTTTGCTCTCTCTCTTTTTAATTCCCCTTTGAAGTGGATTATTGAGTCACGCAGGACTAAAATAAATGCAACAGACAATAATTCAGCTTCCTTATTTCTTGCCCTATTCATGCATTGACCAGACACTCTTTGTCTTCCTAATTTCCGATCTCCTCCCCCATATCTCTTCACTTCCTGAATTTCTTTGCCTTACAATACAAAACTAATTTAGGCTTATTTTTGGCTTTTTTTTTCCCTGAGGGGTAGCCAATTCTCATAAATATAAATTATTCCTGGACAAGTAAATTTTAGCTCATGCAGCATTGAAATCACATGTTAGGTATTACAAGGAATTCCCAGCCTATCATAAGCAAACATGTAATTAGAATTTATGTCTTTATTTATTCCCTGGTGGGCATTTGCTGGAGTTGGAAAGAAGATGAATTTTGTCAAAAGCTAGCTTTCTATATCTTTATTTTCCCATTATTTTCTTACATGAGAGTGCAACGGAACCAGAATTTTTACACAGTACTGCATGTTGTGGTTCAGTCCTAGTGCCACATCATAATTTTTACAACAACATCATGTCTAGTGGCAATTGAGGCATGAAATATCCATACTTTGTTCAAAATGTCCTGTTCTTTGCACATTTGTGTGCATGTTTTTTAAAGAATCTGTAGATGTCTGTAGTGAGGGAGTTCTGTTTGTACTTAAGTGGCATTAGGAGGCCCTGGCTATAGTTGGGGTTTGACTGTTGTCCGTCTGGGATCTCAGAACTTCACATGAAATCTCTCAGTTGCATTAGTACATATGAGTCAGTTCTCCTGCCCTGCTGTGCCACAGCTTCCATTGGAGGTCCTTCAGCAGAGTATCTGCATGATACACACACTCTTAGAGATTTCATATGGCGTCCTCTATAGCTTTCTCCAAGTGTAATATGCATACACATTCTATTTCAACTTCTCTTATTTTTCTTCTACTCCCAGGTATTATGACAACTTTACCCAGTGCACAGAACGTGAAGCCAACAATGCAAGTTGCTTTTGGCCAAACCCCCTTGCAGAAGGCTTTATCACTGGAATTCATAAACAATTCTTTTCAAACTGTACTTCAGAAAAGGTTCACTGGGAAGATCCACCGGATGAAATTGTCATAGCACTGATTTTGATCCCAGTCATGTTGACATGTGCCATGATAACACTGGTAGTATGGTGCAGCAAGAGAAGTGATATCTTGGTGTAAGTTCTTCCTCTGGCCTTTCTTTTTCTTCATTTCTTTCTTCCATAAATACTAAGAAAGGAGGACAAAGAGAGGAACGTGGCATAAAGATTTCAGATCTGCTGAAATGGAACCAGTGAGATATTGAGAACCTCCTATGTATGAAGGACTACCTGCTGCTGCTGCTGCTGTTGTGGCACTGCTTCTGTCTTGACCATGAGTATTGCTGGTGGAAAGTTCTACTTCCATGAAGAAGCCTCATCAGCATAGAATTCACAGGCAGCTCGCAGAAACAGGAGAGTTCCCAGGCAAATGGACCCCTGGTCTGCAAAAGGAGTAAAGTTACTTTCCTGTGGGGAAAGATGGCTGGTAAAGTTTTGCAAAGCTGTATATGTGTAATACTGACCTGTGGGGAAGTGATATCTCTTGAGGTTTTTTGCAGGACAGTCAAGGTTTTTATCTGTGAACCCTGTGACTTGGAGAGATCCCTGGCACAGGAACTGATTAGTGATATAACTAGGTGGCAGCTTTTCTCAGAAGCTAGTCAAAATTGTCATTATCAAAACTGGGAAGTATTGTTCTGGCAAAGAAACAACTTCTGTGTCTGGTGACTATCTGCACAGGGAAATTATCCTGCCACATTATAAAATAGTTTATAAAACCCTTTAGGCATGGCTGCTTGGAATTTTATGTTTTACAAACAAACTTTGGGAGGATATACAAATCTTACTTTGCAGAGCTGGAAAATGTGAGAGGAAATTGTTTGATTATAAATATACTAAAGAGTAATGAAGAAACTTTCATATGCCAGACTTTCTATTTTTCCTCTTTTATAATTATTATTCTTGATGACTTGTGTTCACTGTATACTCCCCACTCTCACTCCAGTTTTTGCAAGTGATATACTCCAAATAAATATACAGGTGTCATGTTGAGGTGCCTTTCAGAGTATTGTACATGAATAATTCTTTGTCCTATGAAGAGTGTGGGAACTAAAGTATGAATATCAAAACTTGGAATAGAAGTAGGAGGAAAAAGAAAAATTCAACTCAGAAATCTTATTCTGTAATGTAATAGTTGAAATAAAGATCATATACTCAAAACAAAAGAATTTCTCTGTGTTGCAAACCTTCTTTTCACAGCATGCCTTTCAGTCCATGCTTTTCTATGACAACTGTGCAATGTCTTTTACAAGTGACTTTTAATTTTTCCACACCTTATACACACAAATAAAATACAGCTGGATGGCCGAGTAGTTGTGTTTCATATATTTTTATGGTGAGATTTTCTCCTTTAAGGTTCTGGCTACATGTTTGAGAGTTAGGTCTATGAATATGAAAAGCATTTCCAAGCTTGAATCAAATTAGAAGTTCTCAATTTACTAGATTATTTATCTACATACATTGTGTATAGATAAATAAATAACCCTTATGAGCTGTACGGGTTGTTTTCACATCCATTCACAAGGGTTGAAGGCACCAACTTGTTTATTCATTACTCTGATGATAGAAGAATTCAATTCTGAAAGTGTTTCCTATGTGTTTTTCCAAAGACTCTTCCTTATTCTCTAGATGCTAGCAGAAATTTCTCTTTGTAAAAAAGAAGAATGAAATAATGTATTACGTAATTCTGTTTAATTTTCTATTGAACTTTATTTTCTGTATTAAAATTTCTTGGACCACCAAAACAGTTAAGACACCCAACCCATTCATTTTATCTAAAATATTGTTTGGTTAAGCATTTTGTGTGGCCAAAACCAAACAATCTTATATTCTGGATGGAGTTTCATTTTAATTCTCATTTATTTAAACTTCAGCAAGCTTCAAGGCAAGTTTCAAATCTTTGGTTTGGAAATCACATAGCAAAAATTTTGACTTTTGAAAAACCACATTAATTTCAACCTAATTGTCATGTTTGGGGCAAATTTTGGACAGTTTCTGACTCATTTGAAATCATGTTCACCTAATGAACAGGTTGCCTCAGAGCTATCAGTCAGCTTGATTTGTAAGCATAATTTATAAAATGGATTGGCCTGGGTACTAAGTGAGGAAGAAAGCTTGATGAAGTCATACCACCAGATGTGTACTGTGGTCTTTAAAAAAAATGCCATGTTTAAAATCTCTAGTTCAAAGAGTATTTTAAAATATAAGATTCAAAGGAACAGAAATTGTAAATTTTAATTCATGTGCTGTAGAGTAGGGGTAGATGATGCTGACACTAGTCTGTGCTTTGGAGGTGAAAATTTAATCATTGTTGTGTGTCTTCCTCATCCAGGATCCAGGTGTGATCTTCTATTACTTTTTATACAGCTGAAGAAGGGCTGAGAAGTTGAAACAGTGCATGGGAAACAACACTGATTATTTTATGTAGTCTCAATGTTTTAAATCTGTGAAATATTTATAGTGTTTTTAGGAAAAATGCGGTTGCATTAATTAGTTCTTAGCAATTTTGTACCTTAATAGGGACCCAGAATGATAATTGTTGAATCTTTTGACATAGGATGTACTATATGTTGATGACAGTTAGTGGTTATTTTCAACTGCATGGACCTTGCTATATCTCCCCCCAAAGCCTCTTTCTATTTGCAAGAAAATCACATCAGGTACCAAGAATCTGGCTCACTAATTAATTGTAAATTAATTTGGTATCATAACAGAGTCTCAGGAATAATGCTATACAAAAAGAAAGAAAATAACTTGTTCAAAATCCTTCCTAGAACTGGAACTGTTGTTGATCCCTATCAATATTTAGGCCAAAAGAGAAGTGACAGCTAGCTGACATTGCTAATTGCTGTGAGTTGTGGGATTTTTTTGCATTCAGTAGCAACTGTGGAAGTGCGTATTTCCATAGCATATAAGAGCTTCAGCAAATGTTGGAACTCAAAATGTCCCTCAGACATTTTTGGAGGTTCCAGACCCTGGTCAGAAGCATTTGAAACCCTGGCAGGCAGCTGGAAACAGCTGTGATTTTGAGTTTGAGCCATGGAATGATTTACCAAATTTGCAGGTAGAACAAGAAGTCAAATAAGTTTAGATATTATAGTAGAAGTAGTTACAAAGTAAAGGGAAGAATTTTTTAGTATTGTACAACGGGATTTTAACACCTGTACGGGGGGGTTTTACTTTGTACAGAAGTTTTACTTTGGTCAGAAGTTTTAAGATGGAGGAAAGTGGGCCGGTACTGTTTCTCCTCTTTCTTCTTCCTTGCCTCCATGTTCTTGATGATGTTGGCACTTATGGATTGGTTTAGAATAGAAAAGCACCATTTAATATAGGTAGTAGGTATTGGGGGAAAACTGTAAACATGTAACACGTAATGTATCATATAAAAGACAGCATCAGCCCTGGGCGGGGGGAGAGAAGAAGAAGACACCATACAGAGAGGATGTCAGGGGTGTGTGGCCTCTGCCTGAGCTGCTGACCAAACTGCAGCAGCCCGAGAAGACAATCTTTTAGATAACTAACAATAAACTGCCTTGAGACCAAACAAGAGGCTGCTGAGTTTTCTTTGGAAGTATGGGTTGGAGGAGAGACTTTACCACCACATGGAACCCCTGAACCAGGCCGGGGTTCCAACAAGCAAAGAGTTAACAGAAGAAGATGATGACTAGCAGGACCCAGACAAAGGCAGAGAGGGCTGTCATCTCTTTCAAGAAAAACAGCAGGAGGACAAATGAAGAACAGTATTTCTTCAGGGCAAGGATAAAAATGGTCAAGAACAAAAAAAATGGCGGTACTTTCTTCCAGGAGTATGACCTCACCATTAGCAGGTTAGTAGCAAATGTCCCTTGGAGCATTGGTAAGGAATGGTGAGGAAATCCTGCATGCTGTCTGCATCTGTCCAGCGTTCATGCAGAGGGAGTCAACAGTCCCTTTCATTTCTAGCATGTCCACAATTAAATGAATGTATATGGTGTAAATTCCCTTCTACACAGACTGGGCATCCAGATGAATTTACAGCAATGCTCAACAAGTTTGCCCCTTTTTTTTGACTCTTTTAGGTAGTGTCTCTTCCTGCCTAAATGTCATATGTGGATCCTGGCAGCAGGTGTCCACCTGCTCCAATACATTGGCTCTTTTGGAAACTGAAGCAAAGTATGAATTTTGCAAGGCAGCAAGATGTAATGCTGCAGTGCTGGGTATTGTTTTGCTTAAGCCTTAATTGTCAAAAGCATGAGAGTATTTCAGAAAGTGAAAGGTCCCTAGCTGTATTTGCCAAGTCTGAGTTCCATAGGAGAAAAATAAAATGTTGTATTTTTTTAACTTGTGGGTGGTTTGGAAAGATAAAGACTGTTACTGCTTCTGAATACAGAGAAACTTGGAGCTTGCTATGTGCTTTGATATAAATTCCTACGAGCATGCAGTAGTATTTATTTCTTCATATTAATATACTCAGAAGTGGACATGAATTTTAGTTAAAGACTCTGTGTTCCTGCTGCTTTAACAAAATTTTAAAATACGAAACTGAGACCCTCAAATAGTGGATTTGATAAGAAAAGCAATTTTTCTGTACAGTAGGAAATCTGAGGAGCATTAAGGCTACTAACTTATCTGTCTAAACTCTCAGCGGAATATTTTAAAAGGATAAAAATAGTAATGATGCATAATAGGCATAATCTGTCAACACCAACTCTGCAAAACACTTGGGGAATGGAGGCAGAGCCAGGTGGTCACAGGCAGTATACAGGTGCCGCCCTGCTTAGAGATGGCTGTGAGAGCCAACTCTGCTCAGAAGTGTCTAGAGACACATCAGTGCGGTGCCATACTTGGTTTTGAGGGATGGGCCTTCTTTGCTTTATGCAGAAACCATTGTTAATGTGATTGCCTGGGCTGCTGGAGTGGAGACAACTTCAAATGAGTTTGTAGAAGATGTGCCTTTGTAGAGTTTCCTGGGAGTGTGAATATGCAGGCAAGACTACCAGGCTACTGGGATTTTTTTGGAACTCGCAGGGATAGCAGCAGCATAGTTGGGATTACTCCTTAAGGTTTGACATTCAGATATAACTGAGTTTTGTCTAAATCCTTCAAGGTGGGATATTTTTTTCTTTACTAGTTTTTGTATCTAGGGTTTAGATATCTGCATGAGAACAGGGTCTCATACTTTGTTTTCATCATGTTCTAAGGGAGACTCTTGGTTTTTGTGAAATGAATGGTCAGAAATGCTCTCAAAGAACTCAGCAATGTGGTAGACATCTAAATTATAGAGGATGTTAGTCATGCTCCCAGGTACCTTAGCCCTCTGTCCTTCAGTGCCCCGTCTGAGTAGGGAATAATCTTGGAAAGATTCTATGAGCATAAGAAAATCTCAAGTTAAGAAAAGCACAAGAAGATCACAAGTTGCTTAAATATTGAGTTGTAGAATCTACTTACAACAGTCTGCAATTAGAAAACCAATGGGAAATAACAGGCAGGGAGAATTTTCCTGATTCTGTCCACTTGGCTAATTGTTTTTCTTGTTACATTTTTTATTTGGAGTTATTGTTTTTTAAAATGAATGGTCTAGGAGGGGGAAAATAAGGAGTCTGTGCCTTTTAAAGCAGAGAACTAAGTTTCTGAAAAATGCCATTGTATTTCTCATCTATATCTATGATTAACATTAACATGTGTCTTCTGGATCTTCATTCTCCTGTTGCTTAGAACAGCAGAATAATGTAATTTTTGCCTAACAGTTTCAATACAATTAAAGATTCAGAATGACAACAGTGGAAGCTTTTTAGCTTCTTAAAAACATAGCTGCTTAAAAGTGAAATATGTTGAGTGACTTGGAAATTGAACTATTCTTGGAGAGCACACCAGGGAGCTGCAGAGATTTAGAATGAGTGAGTGGGAACACACATAATTCCACTGACAAAAATCACTTTAAATCCTAGGAAATTATGGTACATTTAATTGCTCACCTCATAAAAACAACCTTAGCTTGTAATTCAGAAACAACTGGGGAAAATCCTAATTATGTATGTAAATATGTACCGTATTTCTCCCTACTCATCAACAGAACTATAACATAACTGTAAGGGAAATGTGCTATTTTCCAGCTAACAGTTGTTGTACACATTATGGAGACTCCCTGACTGTGAGCTTTGTATCTGCTCAACAGTTGATGCATAAAGAAATTCTATATAAACCAGAAAATGTTTTGTGGTTCCTGTAACTGTAATGAGGAGATCCCACTGGTTTATGTGTGTGAGAAGCCCTTGGAGGGAATACGAGCACAGAGCCAAGCTTCATTAGAACCAAGACACTTGGGGAGACCAAC